AGGAATACAGTACGTATAGGTATACAGCACGTATAGAAATACATCACGTATAGGAATACAGTACGTATAGGTATACAGCACGTATAGGAATACAGCACGTATAGGAATACAGTACGTATAGGAATACAGCACGTATAAGAATACATCACGTATAGGTAGGTATACAGCACGTATTAGTCTTTGGTTTCACTTATAAGTTCTTGGAATTTATAACGCGAAGTTAGTCCGAATGTATAATTTTACTATTTGGGTATGATTTCTATTTACTTGGCTTTTCGTCAACTTTGGATACAATAACGCCATCTATACAACATTTCTAAACTTTAGTTAAATAATTCAGGATAGATACTCCAAGATTATTCCAATATATAGTTTCAGGACGTTTATACGTCTTTCATATGCACAGGACAATAGGAAAATATATATCGAACAATGTTCTTAATAACGCTGCTCTGATAGACTGAAGCAGTTAACAAAGAAGATAAATGCAATGTTTACGTGATATACATCATAATATAACCGATAAAAATTTCTATCACATCGTTACTCACTGGTACAATACGAGTATAGTAACATTTAAACTAAAGCATGATATTTGTTGGATGCCGTTGCTGACGAGGCCTTTCGCTTAATACTAGAACTCATCAGGCTGGCTGGATTATAACGTACAGAGTTTTAGGTTAAACGCTATTGATACTATTTATGAACACTTTAATGTAATTCTTGTAAGTTTCCGGACCTGATACTCTAAGATCCCGGGTTCGATTATACGTATTGGGCAGATAGTAAATAGCTCATTGTATAGTTTTCAGATAAAAGATAAACAATAGCAACCATACATAGAATTGAAGCGTGAACGAAAGCATATATTTACAAAATCTTTACTTGAAAAAACAAAACAAAACAAAAAATATTCAAGTGATTTATAAGAAGCCCATAACAATATTTCAGAACATAAGGTAATAGGTAGTAGCTTAACATATACTTGTGGGATCACGGGGCATGTATAAAAAAATTGTTGTGTCCCGCTTTTCAAAATGTTTTTATAAACGTTGCATCTATCATAAACAGTTGCACGGCATACGTTGCATCTATCATAAACAGTTGCACGGCATACGTTGCATCTACCATAAACAGTTGCACGGTATACGTTGCATCTATCACAAACAGTTGCACGGTATACGTTGCATCTATCATAAACAATTGCACGGTATACGTTGCATCTATCATAAACAGTTGCACGGCATACGTTGCATCTACCATAAACAGTTGCACGGCATACGTTGCATCTATCATAAACAGTTGCACGGCATACGTTGCATCTATCATAAACAGTTGCACGGTATACGTTGCATCTATCATAAACAATTGCACGGTATACGTTGCATCTATCATAAACAGTTGCACGGCATACGTTGCATCTATCATAAACAGTTGCACGGCATACGTTGCATCTATCATCAACAGTATAAACCGTACATGCCGTAGATATTACTGCTGTTTCCGTGTATCAGCAGCTATTATTTTTCTTCTTTAAACGAGTAATTAATTACTGAAGTGTTATGTGAAATCTATAATTATTGAACACAGTGGAACATTTAAAATGATTTAAAAAACATTAAACAATTTTTCTGACCTTGATCATTTCTTTTTTTCTCACAGACTTCTCCTGCTTCTTGTTTAAATTTTAAGAGATAACCATGGACTCCTCTTACTTGTTGTTTAGGTTTTGAGGGGTAATCATTAACTTCTATTTTGTTTTAGTTTTGAGAGGTAACCATGGACTCCTCTTACTTGTTGTTTAGGTTTTAAATGATAATCAAGGACTTTTCCTGCTTCTTGTTTTGGTTTTGAGAGATAATCATGAACTCCTCCTATTTCTTGTTTAGGTTTTAAATGATAATCAAGGACTTTTCCTGCTTCTTGTTTAGGTTTTGAGGGGTAATCATTAACTTCTGTTTTGTTTTAGTTTTGAGAGATAATCATGGACTCCTCCTGCTTATTCTTTAGGTTTTAAATGATAATCAAGGACTTTTCTGCTTCTTGTTTTGGTTTTGAGAGATAATCATGAACTCCTCCTATTTCTTGTTTAGGTTTTAAATGATAATCAAGGACTTTTCCTGCTTCTTGTTTTGGTTTTGAGAGATAATCATGAACTCCTCCTATTTCTTGTTTAGGTTTTAAATGATAATCAAGGACTTTTCCTGCTTCTTGTTTTGGTTTTGAGAGATAATCATGAAATCCTCCTATTTCTTGTTTAGGTTTTGAGAGATGATCATGGACTCCTTCTACTTCTTGTTTAGCTTTTGAGAGGCAATCATTAATTTCTGCTTTTTTAAAAGTTTTTAGAGGTAATCGGCCCGGCATGGCCAGGTGGTTAAGGCGCTCGACTCGCAATCTGAGGGTCGCGGGTTCGAACCCCCGTCACACCAAAC